ATATGAACTTCATATATTCATTGTATAATCTAATTAGGCAACCCGTGGTTAAATCCTGAATTCCGAGCACATTTTAGAAGTCAGCACCGTGTTCGATCAGGAAATCAGTACAGTAAGCTAGCCTTGCATAGCTAGCAACGACAGATTGGTTTTTATCCCTACTTTCCTTTCAAATTCTCATCCATTTTCCATGGCGAAATTGTTTACAATAACACATTGCGTAAGCTTACGGAGGGCGCATTCGAACACCTCTAAGTTTTAAGAGAGTTCCAGGGTAGACTTGAGCTTCATTTTGGACTTCAAAGAGGACAATTCAATCATTTACAACGGCAGGTCAAATGTTCTTTGCCGAAGACGTTGAAGACGGTAAGCAATCTGTGGGTAGATGTGACACACTCGAGCATTTGTCACGCAAGGCTGAAATTATTTCAATCTTGTACCCATCTTGTAATTTTACGGCAACGAATATCCATGAATAACGTTTTTAACAAACTTGTTTATGTGATAATTCTTCATATCAGTTAGTCATTGCTGTGAAACTTGTTAACTTCGCAGTGGGGATCTCATGCAGAGTTGAATGTAATGGTGACATTACCTAGAAGAGCCAATAAGCAGAACACAAAACAACAACTAGCTATAGAAAAAAGACTAGGGAAAGGATCAAAAGTCAGAGTAAAGGTGAAACAGAGGCAAAGTACAAAATTATTGAAATAGGAGAAGAATACCAAGTATGGAGCCGGAAACTGAATGAAATAGATAGGGTGAACTAGACCTGAGGATAAATGTACGATAAACGATGTGCTATTTTAAATCACTACTACAAACAAAGAATGTTAGTTGCGTTAACAAAGTTCTTCCCAAATTGAGAGTTTTAGGAACAAAACTCACGGAAATTGGTTGGGCTGAAAACTGTTTGCAAATTAAAACGATTAAGGTGAGAAAAAGGTGATTCTTTTGATACTTCAGCTAATGCTCTTTCAGCGAATGTCGTGCCGTAGAGTCATTTCTAAACACCTTAAGACTGTCAGCAATACCGGTGTTGAGGCCGAAATAGATTTAATTTTAGATCGAGCGCCAATTCTGCACTGTAAAAACACTGAGAAAACAGTCTATCGCAAATATTAACGAAATAAAAAAAGTCTTGCGATGGCTTCGCCCGTAAACTACTTTTTTCCACCATAAATACACACAAGAATTTCTACAAATTCGTCAAGATGTAAATAGGCGAAAAAGCTCTCGATAACATTCCATTTACAACATTTACAAGAGGTTCTACACAACACTCGAACTCACCTTTCCCGCTAAGTCTGACGCCATTTTGAAATAGTTCCGATCCATCATCACGTGTTCGCATAATCCAATCAGAAATGGACTTCTGATTTGAACAATGATCCGCGCTGTTTTCAAAACGAATACGGCTATCGGATTCAATATTCAAATAATCAATCCATTATTGCATTCTTGAAACAGTAGCGGGTTCCATGCTCAAATATTCAATTCGATATTGCGCTCCTGAAACGATTAGCGGGTTCAATATTCAAGTAATTAAATCATTAATGTAATCCTGAGGGGTACGCTTCACTTAGTTTGACTGTAAGCCTCATTAAATTGTGTCAGCCTTCTTAATTACACAGGCTGTGGAATGGAAGATAAATGAGCTGTTAAGTTGCCATAAAGAATCTCCTTACCAACAAAGCGCGAGGGCCGTACTGAGGATTATTGACCCAAAATCGTGGTAGTACGGAGAAAGCGCAGCGAGGTCCGTACAAAAATGACTGAGGGCCAATATTTCCCAATACAGCTCAAGCAAGCGATGTTACTAAGTATTTTATCATGGCGTTCGGGAAAACCTCTTTGATTTTAATTGTTCGGCTTTCGCGAACAAAAATATAGGCTTATGACCGCTTCCACGGAAATGGTCCGTATGGCAAAATCCAGACCAAATTAGAACTAATTAGAACGCTCGGATTTACCACAAGACTGTCCTGCCATATAGTAAGTTGTTATAATCTTCAAGCTCGGGGCGTTATTTTCATCGATAGTTTATTTTCTTATGAGCTTTTTTGTTTGATAATACATGTCCTTGCAACTTTTTACCTCGTGCTTCCGTTTTTCTGCTAGAAATTCATTGTAGAGAAAGAGTCACACATAGTCACAAGTTCGTGTTATTAATGTAGGTGTGGTCGTTAACTCAGTCGAATTAGTTTTGCTCAGCGCACTAATTGACTTTCCTTTTTGTACAGCTTACTTTCAGAAATGTTGAATTAGTGTCAATGACGTTATACAGCGATTAATCGCAGCTTTCAACATCCGGGGGCGATCTAAAGGCTCTTGACTGTCGTCCTTTGAACCTTACCTGGGTGGGGTAGGGAATTTGAACCGGAAGTTTCAAGTCTTTCTAGAGGATTACTGGTGGGGTTTATCTTTTTATATAGAGGTACTTAAAGCGGATGGCTCAGAATATAGGGTCTATAAGGTCAAGGTTTTGGAGCTTTAATAGTCAAATCAATCGGTGGTCGTGCCTTTTACAAAAGATGTGACAATGAAATGAGGGTCTCAATGAAAAGATGGCTTCCACGGCTAACGGTTACATCTTTTGGCCACTTTTACACAGCTAATGGTATATATATATATATATTTATTAAAAACTAGATCATTGGATAATCCAATTCAAGACTTTTTATTTGCTTAGCCATTATGGTATATCAGCCAATATACCTCAATCTACAAATATGGCAAGCGTACGTATCAGCTTAAAATTAAAAGGGAGCTAAAAAATTTAATAAAATTTAATACCTTGATTTAACGTTTTTAATAAAACAATTATTCCACTCGCTCTTGCTGGATATGAGATGATTATAGCCAACTCGGCGCTACACGCCTTGTTGGCTATCTATCATCTCATATCCAACGCGCGCTCGTGGAATAATTGTTAAATATATATATATATATTATATATATGTAGTATAATTTCAGAGCTGAGCAAAGAGATTCCAGCAATCTGATTGGTCGAGCGGTTCCTTATATGAGGCTATATAAACCGCTCCGCGCAGTTTATATAAAATGTTAAAATAAAATGTTAATAAATGTTACTAAAATGTTATGATTTTAGAAATTTCTCTGTTGTTCAGCTCAGAAACTATACTAAAACAATTATTCGCCTCAGGTTCGGTGAATGTTGTCGAATAATCCCCTCGGCTTCGTCTCGGGGATTATTCGACGATATTCACCTCGTCTTCGGCGAATAATTGTTAATTATTAAAAACTAGATCATTGGATANATATTTTTTTACGGTTATATTATTTTAAGGACTCACGGTTAACATTTGTCAATTTTTACGCCTAACGGATAATTTTTGCCGTTTTACTGCTAACAGGTAACCCCATTGAGAACCAATAAGATCTAGCACCTGGGTATTTGAACATGATTTTGGTCCAGAGGGGCTGGAACCAATCTTCAAAGTGGCTTGTGGCCGAAAAAACCGCAAGAAGGGTACAATCAAATGTGTTTTTGTGATTGAAAATATTTCGACCTTGCGTGACAAACGCTTGAGTTCATTGAATTCATAGTAGAATCAGATTGCTTCCCGTCTTCAAGAACATTTGACCTGCCCTTATAAATGATTGAATTGTCCTCTTTCAAGTCTACAACGAAGTTCAAGTTTACCCTACAACTTTCTTAAGACTTATGGGTGTTCAAATACGCAAAGAAAAACACGCCCTCCTTGCTTACGGAATGTGTTTCGCCATGGGAAACGGATGAGAATTTGAAACGAGAGCAGAGATAAAAACCAGTCTGCCGTGGTTAACTATGCAAGGCTAGCTTACTGTGTTGATTTCCTGATCGAACATGGCGCTAACTTCTAAAATGTGTTTGGAATTTCGGATTTAACTCCGAGGTGCCTAATAAGATTATGTCGTGACGGAAATGAAGATGTTGCGATTGTCACAAAGTTCAGCCTGGTTTTTTCCGTGCGGAAATGAGAAGCCCCAAACTAATTTTCATATCCTCGAAAATAATACCATTTCCACTTATCATGAGCTTAACCTGAACCGATTCTGAGTTATACCACATAGGGAAAATGATAATTGAAAATTTGCCACAAAATGCGATATTTGGATTTTGAAATATTGGTGATCTTTAAAAGCGTTCCGTGAGCTCAAAGTAAATGAAATGGTCCCGTTTTAGACTTAAGGCATGCCTCAATCTCTCCTCCACAAATTTGTCGAATTGATACGAGCTTGCTTTCTTTTGCGCTTTTCATCAGCCAAGTTCATTTACCTCTACTCGACGCACAGATTTCCGCCATTTTACGGCTACTGACACTCGTTTCAGTTTTCGTGAATTTTCTTGGATAAAGAGGCAAGTCTTAAAAAAAAACGCTCCCACGTTGCTAAGTTCACTATAAGGTATCTCTGGGAAAAATACGAAGGTTTTCAAGTTTTCGATCGTGTGCCACATTTTTCGATTTGCACACGGTCAATTCAAACATTCGCTCAGTAAGTCTTCAATAAATTGCTAGAGCTGATTATACTACTTAAAGCAGCAGAGAAAACTGAACTTTACAAGCGGTTAAGAGATACGGTAGATTGCAAAGTGAGGCCATAGATGTTCTGACGTAACTTTGTTGCATTTTATTTAGGATTGCGAATTCGCAAAGAAGTTATTAGCTGTGCTACGAGTTTAATAGATAATTTTCTTACATTTGTAATTCACAAGTCGGACTATTGTATTTACAAGCCCAGACGAAAAGGATTGAGTTTGATAAACCTCACTACGAGTGTAAAATACAGCGAGGATGTAAAACAATATGTTATATAAGAGTCCAACTTGTAATTCACAAGTGCAAAATATAGGCCGTGTATCACCTGTAAACATGAGCACGACCTCTGAAAAGGATATTGAAGCAGCAAAACATGTCTACTGGTTAGGAGAAACTCGATTAACTGCTCAGACTCAAGTTACTCGCCAATCTCGGAATTACCTG